GACTATTATTTCATTAATGATAATGAGTAATGGTAATAACAAGTTATTAAACTATTGTAGCCAAAACGAGGCCAAGTGAAGCATCTTATTCAAAAATAAAGTACCAATGAATGAAAATTAAAATCGTATACATTACACCCAAACACCGCAACGCTCGAGTTTCAAACATACAGGTAAACTAGCTGTACTGAACTTTCTGAGTAAATTGAGGGCGCATTTGCAAACGATTGCGCTTAGCGAAATTTGATTGGCTAAATCTATGGTAGCCATCTTGGATGGTACACACACACAGTTCTGCGTATTTCGAACATCGAATACATTGCGGTTAGCGCTCTAGTATTCTTATTATCTCTATGGTCTGAACATTGGCTACGTTCAGACCTGTGAGATACGCCAGGCGTATCTAACGCCGGGCGTACGTTAATCCATGGCGTAACTAGCGAGATGTCCAGACTGGGCGATTAATGAACGCTAGCGTAAGTATTCGCGCGAAATATTCGTATTCGTAATTCGCGCATTTTATTTTCTGTTTACATCTAGGTTTATTTTGATTGGTCAAATCTTGGCTGAGTTCAAAATCACTGATGCGTGACTGTCGTAACTCAGTGGCGTACGCTAATCTGGGGTCTGTTGCTAGGTTAACGTACGCCAGTGCTTGTGCGATAATACTGGCGTTCGCTACGCCGCGCGCAAGTTCACACCACTCGATTAACGTTACGCTAGCGTAAGTCGTTGTGTCTGAACATAGCCATAGCCATAGCCAAAGGTTATAACTGTGGCATCGACATTCTAGGCGCACGTGCGTCCCTACACGCTGAACGTCACAAAAACCATAGCAACCAGACCATAAACCGTCAGCGTACGTGACGAATTACCCACGCGCGTGTTAGTTGCCATGATAATCACCGCGCCGTGCGGTGATTACAAAGGCCTAATGATATTTTGCACTAACATTAGACTGAAATATATTCTTCATTTCAACATTAATTTTACCAAAATTGTGGCGAATTGTCGTTCATGAGACTCACTTCGCAGAAAAAAATTAATAAATGTCCTGTATATACTCAAATGTTCGTTTTCGGCACCTTATGCCAACATTGTCAAAATGACAGATTAATGTTACATAAGAACATGAAATTTTATAAAATTCGTAAATTTTGAATTGCTATAACTTTTCATTTTCTTGGTCAATTTTCACAAATCAAATTGCAGTTTATAGAAGCATTTAACAAGCTCACGGTAAAAAAAAAAATCAGATGTAACAGACCTTTCGAAGTACCCAAAATTAATAAAATAACACCATAAAACGAATGGCACGCATAGACTAATAATTGACGGCTGTACTCGCAACTAGTATCGGATTGTCGATGCCACAGTAAAGATCAAAGGGCTGTACGCACGCGCTATGTTCGACAGCGGAGATGTGCGTCCTTCTGTTGAATTACCTTGCTTTAATTAGTGTTTTTAAAAAGAGTAATTTTTAGCATTTAAAAATATTTACACATGCGTACGCGCACGTCTTGACACCCGTGAGCACGGTAATGGCACAAAGAGTTGACTCCTGATATGAACACAGTGTCAGGAACCCAAAATATGTAACAAAATGTAATTTCCAGCTTCATTATGTGCTTTGCGCGTGGAAATGAACGTCCGGCGCGTTAAGTATGGAAAGTTTTGGAAACCTGAAAATGACCTGAAACGTTCTTTAAATTATCTGAAAAGTGATAGAGAATTTTCAAATTTTACGCACACGCACATCACGATGTGTGTGTGGACGGTAATGGCACACGAAATTAAACATTGTCAAATGTTTTTAAAACTGCCTGTTGGTTGGTAATGCCACACACATTTTCTCTCCATATAACCTATATCAGTCTGATAGCGTCGAAATACAGTCTGCCGTCCTCTGTTGTTTTATTATTTTTAACATCTTTTAAGAACGAGAGATAAAAGGGCTCCAAAAATTCATTCTTTTTGACCATGATCACGTGATCAAAATGAAAAATAAAGGGACACTTCCGAAAGAGAATTGTCTCAGCTGTAACATACTCACAGTACTGAGACAATCTAACAAGAATAAGCGAGATACGTTCAAATGAGTTTAAAAATAAAGACGTTACAAATAAAAATTAAGTTTATTTAAAAATTCAGATGACAATATGATGACGTCATAATGTCCGATCAGAAAAAATAATGAATATTAAATATTGAAATAATAAAATATAAAATAATTTACTTTTATATTTTGGTTTTACAAAATCAACTTAATTGTAATTAACACAAGCAGTAGTACTATCAATGAATGATTTAATAATTATTCTTTCGTTACAATACTGGGCTTTCTGTTTGATGTACAAGATAGTATGAATTGAGTGTGATGTATAAATCAGTGTGAATTTCATGTTA